TAAAATTATTAAATTTAATTGCAATATGTAATACAATTTCAGAAATACTAAAATGAGCGAAAAAAGAAAATTTATATTTTTAATTAATATAGATGTTTTCCTTTTAATATACATGTGTTAATATCTTCTGAAGTTTTATTGCATATTTTAACTATCTTTCTATGTGTAAATATATATAGTATTAGTGTATTATGTGTAAATATATATAGTAATATACTACTCTGGTGTAACTTTTAATTTATATGTATATATAGCTTTTTATTGTTATTATTAATTATTATATTGTATCGCATTTCTATAGGTGTAATAAGTATAGATTACATATTTCTTTCTCCCTCAATCAAACGTTGCAACATTGGGTGCACTCCGTTTGATGCTATTTTCGCTTCGAAATATTTAACGAATCAATCAGGGCTAAGAATCTTGCGCTTCGAAACGAAAATAGCGTCAAGCAATCTTTTGAAAGAGGAAGAAAGTTTGACCAGTGTTTCCTTCTCTTTAATGTAAGGATTGAAGAGAAATAAAGATACTGGGGAAGAACATTTGTAATATTCGCTCATGCACCGTTTACAGTTAATTTATACTTAATGTGGTTCATAATAGCATTATATACTATAGAAAAAAAGAGGGAGAAAAAATGATAAAATTTATAGATGAGACTGTGAATGTAACGTCGCTTCTAATCATCTGTACTAATTCGTCATTAATGCCGTCATCGACAAATGCCTGACAGTCAATGAAATCTCTAAATTCTGGCGGAGTGAGTAAATCTTCGCGACGATTATATTAAAGACTGAATCCCGTATTCAAGGCTCACCAATTGCACGTGGCGTAACGAAAGGAAGGAGGAGTAAAAGTCGCGCGTAATCGATTTTTAACCCATGTATGGTCACTGCGTCTTTATAAGTAGAAACTGTTTTGGTGTGAACGATAACTCGCCTTGAACACACGGCATTCGCTGAGAGAACGGCCCATATATGGACGATGATTTTCAGCATAAGATTACAGCGCGATTGTACAGGGCGCGCGACTTTTTCGAATAGCGCGCGTTAGTAGATCGCACTTTTTACAGATAGACATATGCGGATCGATGTTGTACTGTACGGTAAAACGTAAAAATGCTTAGGATGGCGAAAAGAAACGCGTGTTTTCAAAATAAAATGTTTTCTAATTTGTAAATTATTGTGTTTCGTCATTCTTTTCGCTCTCTGAACATTTTAACAACTTTAAAAAAATGGTTGTCCGACAAGTAAGTGACCAAACGAAAGATGAAAGTAGATTGGGTTCAACTGAGTCGAAAAGTCCTGAACCATTTTTTTTTATAACTCTTAATAAAGGAGTTATTATTGATTAAGTCTGTCCAATCAGCGCCGACCTTTGCCGCGCTCCTGGTAGTGTGCGTGAGCGCTCCGTCGCTACGGCGACGCACACTATCAGGCGGGCGGCTCACTGACGTACGTCCGGCTCTTTTAGATCTTTTGAAATTGTATTGATGGAGATGATGCAAATGTAAAAATTTTATGAAATGTTAATCATAATGCGATTAGGCAAGATTTTGTGCTAAAAAACGGGATTCGTTTTCTTCAGGAAAGAGATGACCGCTAAAACTGTTATTGTGCGTACTAAAGACCCGGATAGCGAGAACTTATCGCGGTGGCTCGTAACAGTGATTGTTTTAGTTTTTCTCTTCAGTGTCACACCAGCCAGCGGTTGACCGGCTCTGTTTCCCTTTTTGGTTTTTTTTTTCTCATATACGAATATAAACCCGTTCCTCGCACGCGTCTTCGGGAGGGTGGACGGCGACGGGAGGATCCGGGTGGGTTCCAATGCGTGTGCGTATATATATAGACCGACCCCCTGCCCCTTGCCCAAGGGTACGGGCGAGGGAACGCGTACTATTCTCGGACGAACTTCACGAATCCGAGTAACTTCTTTAGATACGGTGTTCGACTCCTGGTTCGCGGCGTAAATATCAGTAATCGTTTACGAATCGCGCCGTGTCCATCGAGAGCATCCGCGTCAATCCGATTCGAGGAGATTGCTGTTGACGTGTATATGTAAGATCCATGTCGGCATTCGATCCCGGTTACATCGACACCGGTTCTTCCGAT